TTATTTAATTTTAATCGTGAATTTTTTTGATAATAATGAAGGTTGATCGCCATCTTAAAGGGCAATGTCATAGGTTGGCGGTACAAATTGAAAATGGGTACTCTGGAAGTTGTCGAGTCACCAATCTTGATATAGAAAACTCGGTACCACATAACAGCCGCGATGCGTTATCAAAAATGTTAAGAACTGCCTATGAAATGGCTTTAAAACCGAGCATGCCACATAGCCATTTCGAGACGCTGATAAAATGTCAAAGAATTAATGGTGTACTTCTTTTAGAAGGAAAGTGCAACAATAAAGCAGGTTATTGATTTTTTTATAATTTTTACAACCGTTTTTTTTCTAAATGATTTTGTATTTTTTTACAACATTTTAATTAACTTGCATTCTTGTAGGTTTTTTATTTATATATTATTTTGGTGTCCGCGCAAAACAAACACGAGGTCAGCATACTAATAAAAGAAATCGTTTAAAAAAGTAACTAAAACAAACAACGCTAAACAGGCTTAAGTTTAGGGATCGTCCCTAAATTATGCAACGCAAAACTTATTTAAAAAATATAAGTTAGAGATCATTTTGCTCTTTGGCGCGGCGATTTTTGCGAGACTTTAAAGGTTGTTTATATACTTAATTTAATTAATGACTATGCGAGGGAAAAATTTCAATTCTTTGTTTTTTGTCTATAAGTTTAATTTTGCGTTACGTAATTTATAGAGAAATCTTTAAGAAGAGTAATTATAACAAACAACAAACTTTTAGAGCTTTAGTTTAGCGTGAATAAATAGATAATTTTGTTATTGTTGGATAACAAAAAAAAAGTATAAAAAACTCTTTAAAAACAACATTTTAAAAATGGACTAAAAAGTATTTCACGAGACTCAAGGACTTTGTGTACATGCGCAACCTGAAATATCCATTAAAATCAATGACTGAAAATGTTGGGCAACTAAGTACAACTCGTTAATATTGGTGCCCAATATTTTCAGTCATTGACTGTAATGGATATTTCAGTTTGTGTATGTACACATAGTTATTGTGTCCTGTTAAATAGTTTATTTTTTACTTTTTGGTCCATTTTTAAAATGTTGTTTTTAAAAAGTTTTTTTTACATATTTTTTTTTTATTTCTTTTTTTAGCACGTGAATATATCTCCTGCATTGCTAGTGCTGTAAAAGAAAAAGTTACTAAAATCATCAATGATAAAAGTTTTTTCTCAATTCTCTCCGATGGCTCACAGGCTAGAAAAACGAAGGATGAGAAAGAGTTGATTCTTGTACGCGTTGAACGCAAGGGAACCCCTGCTTACTTTGTAGTATCTTTACTTGATATGAACAATTTGGGTGGTATGGGTGCAAATGCCATTAAAAATGCCATTGACAGCATTTTTAATGAAACAGGTAATATTCCTTTAACTGCGGCAGCTTACAAATCTAAACTTGTAAGCGCGACGGCCGACGGAGCAAGCGTTAATTTAGGAATTTATAATGGAGTGTTAACGCAATTAAAAAACGATAGAACGTGGTTGATTAAAATTCACTGCGTAAACCATCGTTTAGAATTAGCTATAAAACGTGCTGTAAAAGATATATCGCAGTTTAAAGAGTGTGAGCGTTTTTATATTTCTATTTTTAGTTTGTTTCGCAATTCTGGCAAATTAAAAAGCGCGGTTAAAAAAGCTGCTGAAGCTTTGAATATTACTTACTACACCTTGCCTAAAATATCGGGAACGCGCTTTATAAGTCATAGAAGACGCGGTTTTACAAGACTATTACATAACTGGCCTTCGCTTATTGTGGGCTTTGAAAACGCTCTTGCGGATCGCGACACCAAAGCAGATATGCGTGCTAAGATTTCTGGGATATCCAAACGGTTGCATGAATACAGACTATTATGTATAGTTTGTAGTTATTTGGATATTTTAGAAAAATTATCTCCGTTATCTTTGGTTTTCGAAAAGAAAATGTTAATGGTAAATGAATTAAAACCAGCAGTGGATGTAACTAAGGCTAGTTTAGACAAATTAGGTAATGAAGGTATCGATGATATTATTGATTCATATTTACTAAAGTTCAGAATCAATGAAAAAGATGGTACAACTAATCTTGTTTCTTTATATTTCAAAGAAGGCCATGAATTAAAAAAATCGAATCCAGAGTTCGTTCAGATTGAGCTCGGCAACATGGCTAATCTTAACTTGGAATGTCTTAGTTCTGCCATTAAATTAAGAAAAGCAGCAATTGACATCATTCTGCCATTGATAAATGATAGATTTAGTTCGCTGTTAAATCCAATATTTGAATCAATGGATTGGTTAGATCCACAACTATGGACAGCAGACAGCACGTATGGTGATTTCAGCATATCTTTATTACTAAAAGAACTCTTTTACCCTCTAGAAGCTGCAGGAATAGATTTTAAAATGGTTTTTTCGGAATGGAAAGCTGCAAAACTAGTAGTAAATACTCAGTACACCATTGCACTCACACCACTGGAAATGTGGCAGAAATTTTTCCTTCATCATAGAATGAAGTTTCCAAACTTTTGTCTTCTAGTTGAACTTGATGTGTATTTCTGGCTCTAATTCCGCTGTCGAACGCATTTTCAGTATTTTGACTGTAATACTGACTGATCGGCGTTTAAAAATGAACCACTCAACAATGGAAGACTCTATAATAATAGCAGGAAATGACCAGAATTTCACTTACCAAGAGCGAGAAGATATTTTGAGTCGCGCTGGGGATATCTATTTAAGTAAGCAAAGAATTTATCGCCTTGATTCAGCTAACGGTAGCAATGTCACTGATTATAGTAGCGACGAAAGCAGTTACAGTAACGATTTAGGTTCTACATCTGAATCGGACGAATAAACATTTTATTTTACTTTTCTTTACTCGTAAGTCACTTTATGTATGTAATTATGTTTGTGTTTTATTGTGTATGCTTTTGTTTCGTTCATGTATGTTTTTGTTCTGTCTCGACCTCTGGCGCGGTGCTGATCCACCCGTAAGTCACTTTATGTATGTAATTATGTTTGTGTTTTGTTGTGTATGCTTTTGTTTCGTTCATGTATGTTTTTGTTCTGTCTCGACCTCTGGCGCGGTGCTGATCCACTCGTAAGTCACTTTATGTATGTAATTATGTTTGTGTTGTGAAACAATATTGTCTAATGTTGGATATAGCTCCTTAACATGAAGTTTTGTTGAGCTCACTTTTTATGGGATGCGTCGTTGCTGTTTACCCACTACTCTGTAGTGCGTGAACAAAACAGTTTTTTAGTTTTATTGCTTATATTTAGTCCCATAAAATCATTACATTACTGGAGAGTCCTAGAGGACGAAACAATATTGTCTGCTACTCTCGAGTCCTTAATGCAAGGAAGGGGGGGCTAAGGGTTGATGGGAATATTATTTTTAAATAAACAACTGCCCCACCAACTTTTATTAAGTGCTCGAGAATATATATATATATATATATATATATATATATATATATATATATATATATATATGTGTGTGTCTTGGCGTGTATATGTGTCTTGTCGTGTATATGTTCATCCGCAAGTTACTTTGTATGCATGTTTGTGTTCAGTAACCAGAAACTTTGTGTATGTTTATTTCATAACTAGTTTTATCAACTTTGATGATTATTACTGAAAATGCAATTTTTGTTGAAAGTCTTTATGCTTACAAAATAAATAATATATTAGAATATAAACAGAAACACAAAATTACATAAATTACATAATTTTTTAACAAAAAATAGGAATATACTAATAAAGTCTATAATTTATAAAAAAATTTTAAAATTTTGACAATTTAAAAAATATATATTATAAAACATTTATTTTAGTAAACAAATAATAATAGCTAAAAAGATTTACGGCTTTGCAGATGTGGCTCTAAGAATGAGCCATAGTATTAAAATAATAATTTGTTTGATAATATATTCTTAAAACAATTTATGCTAGAAATCTCACAACTTAACAAATTTTCAATGATACAATTTTAAAAGAAAATTCTAGAACTTTTTTTCGCTTAATCAGCCTATTTTTTGAACCAATAGAATTAGTTTGTTCGTAAACTTGGCGGGTTTTTTGAGTGTTAGCTTTTTATACTTCGGCACTAAGATGTTTTGAGAACATTTAAGTTTATGTATGTTTCCATGTATGTCCGTAAAACAAAACATTTTTGCTTTACGGAAACACATAAACTTGAATGTTCTCAAAACGACTGAATAACGTGGCCAGATTTTCGCAACTAAATATAATTTCCGTGGTCAGTATTCGAGAGCGATCGCTCCCGCTTCCCGACCAAGCCTGATATATACATACATATATATATATATATATATATATATATATATATATATATATATATATATATATATATATATATATATATATATATATAACTAGATACAATATAAGTAGAACTTTAATTAAATTTACCTACATTGTATTACTTATTATTTTTAACTAAATTAACATTTATCTATAAATTTTATAGAACAATCTCTTAGCATTCAAAAAATGTGACTGCAAAAAATTTATAACCCACTCAAATTGAGGAGTGAACTTTAAATGTTCATTACTTTTTAAAACTAAAAGATTTCTTTATGAAATTAAAAATTTATTGATGAGTTTAGTTAAGTTAAGTCATCGATTTAATTTAGTTAACTTCCAATCATCACAATTTTGAGTCTTTTCCATGTCTGGAAGTTAGCTCAAACATTAAAAAAATGCTGAATCTGCCCTTGCAGTAATTTCATATCACAAAAATGGATAAACTGCATTTTTTAATTTACACTCTTTACATGTGTGTATGCGTGTGTACACACATACACACACATGTATTATGTGTGTGTTTGTATTAATATATAACTGCATACATAAATATAAATATATTTATGCATTCATACATGCTTTAACTCTTCCACAAGGTCGTATGTGCCCATTAAACTTAAAAATACAACAATCTATAGAATATTTTTTATGAATTTACCTTTGACAGATAGAATGCTCTCTTTTAAATGTCTGAAGCCTTCTTTTACACTTGCATCATAACAAGATTGTGAGGCTGACGGAGGATTGTCATTTAAATTATTAACAACTATATTGAACTCAGTTTCTGCAAAAGATTTCCCATCGAAAGCAAGAATTCGTAGTTTGTGTTGCTGTTGTTGCTCGTAGTCAAGAGGATTAATCACATATAACTTTGAAATAAATCCTTAAAATTAAATAATTAAATAAAAACTCACTTTAATGGCAAAACAAAATAAGAATTCAATAAAATATAAGAAAAAAATTGTTAAAAACATTTTAAAAATATAAATTTTTACTTAAAGGGAAATAAAACTTTTGCTTATCGTTTCCAGACAGAATGTAAAAAAAGACAGGTCCAAATGTTGTTTTATCTATCTCCTTTTCAAATTCAAACAGTTCTCCTTTCTTGTTTTCATCTATCGAAATATTATAGCTAAAAAAAATGGAATTATTAGAAAAATAACAAACTTGATAAAATTTTACTTGGTATTTTAAAACATACCTTTTCTTCTTGAAAGATAAAGATGTTGCAACACTTGGTCTTTCAATTATTGTTATTCCAATAAAACTTTCACCAACCATTTGATTTTTGCTATGTTTTGCAACAATGTTTAAAAAATATTCTTGGCCTATTATTAATGTATTGTTCATTGTTACCACTCCATTTACTGGGTTTACATTAAAGATTGAATTTGTAGCCATATTTTTAAATACAAGGAAATCATCCTGTAGTTTATTCTCAGCAAGAACTTGAAATAAATATGGTGGTTGAAGAGAACCTTTGGTTTCAAATAACTGTATATTAGCCATAGAATCTAGGGTAAAATCTGGTTCTGAAACCCCATGCTCCACAATAACATGGACATTTCCATATGAAAAATATTTGCTAGAAACTGAGGTAACTGTTATATTAAGGTCATAGTGACCAGCTATTAACTGCTGATGCACAAATAATATACCATTCTCATCAATTTTGAAAAGTTGATCTTGGTTTCCACTTTGAAATGTATAAAAATAGCTTTCATTATACAAATTTACACTTAATGGAAGGGTTTGTAGTTGAATAATTTTGCTTCCAGTTTTTATAGTTTCAGTAACAGTTATAAACTGTACACTTGGGTAAATATAAGGCCGTTCAAATTTTATTGACTTTACCTTTATTAGAATATGAGAGTTTGTAAAAACAGATGGGTTACTTTCTAATTGAGCTTGCACAGTTAACCAATAAGTTTTCCTAGAAAAAAAGCTATTCTTATTGGATATTTTACCTGAGTGTTCATTTTTTATGATAAAATCTAAAATACCATTCCCATCAATGATAAAATACTTAATGCCATCTCCTATTTGGCGACCAGGAATTTTGGCAAAAACTTCTAAAACAATAGAGGCTACAGGGATACCTTCAGCTACTGTTACAATTAATGGTAAATCAGAATGAGTAAAAATAGGCTTAATGTTACCAAATCCTTCACTAATAGTTGCATACATATTACATGTGGTTTTCAATCTTGGCTTTCCACCATCCTCTAACACAGCATTAATTCTAAATTTCTCAAAGGTAGAAGGAAGTTTTTTTATAACTTGAATTAAACCTGAACTTTTATCTATCAAAAAGTAATTGCTAAAAATATTAGAATCCATATATTCACCAAATTGATTTTGTTGTTTAGTACTTTCTATACTATAGGTTAATTCGCCATTTTCTCCTTGATCTTGATCAAAACCAAGAATTCTACCAACAATAATACCGATTGGAGAATCTACTGAAACTGAAATTTGCTGATCATTAGTCAAACAAACAGGAGGAGTGTTAATCAACTCAGAAACAATAATATGAACAAGAGCAAACCCTTGGCTGTCTTGCATTATTGATCTTTCTGTAGCTTGTACTTGAATAAAGTATTCAATATAAAATTCATCTGATAATGATGATAATAAATATATTTCACCAGTTTTGGAATCAATTTTAAAATTTTGTGATGGATTGACTAACGAATACTCTATGTCAACATTGGAGTCAAGATCTACTGCTTCTACTGTAAAAATTTTTCTTCCTATTTGCCAATCTTGATGCACATATACTGTATATGAACCATTATTTGTGAAAGCAGGAACATTATCATTGACATCAAGAACATTCACTGTTAACAAACTCATAACAAAATTACCTTCAATATCAGAAGCTTTGATTAGGAGTTTGTAACTAGCAACAAGTTCACGATCAAGTGGTCTAAAAATATATAAAGAACCATTAAAAGGGTCTATTTGAAAATTAAACCCTATATTTCCAGATTCTATAGAATATAATACTATTGAACAACATTCTATGTTAGTACTGTAGTGACCAATTCTAGAGTTGACAGATGTATCTTCTAAAACATTTACAACAGGATTTGGGGATTCTTTGAACAAAAGTTCAGACCGAAATTTAGATTTAGTGGATGAAAATTTTTCATGTTCAGGAAGTGGGACATTAATTTTAGAAACTAGTTCTTTTATTACAAAAAAATCATTGTTTTCTACACAAACCTTTTCACCTTCTAAACTACTAAATTTTATGTTGAGCACAGTTATTTTTGACTCATGTTTCCCATCATATGCTGATACATTTATCAAAGTTTCTATATGACCAGGTTGTGGAACATAAGAAAGAACTCCACTAGTGTGGTTAATTGTAAAACCGGGATGAATAGTGTCTATCTTATACTGAATATTATCATTAAAGTCTTGATCAATAGCAGAAAATGTAAACAATGAAGATGAAGCATCAGAAAGTACAAAATTGCATGCTTGCTGCCTTAATACAGGGGAATGAGAATTTGCAGATAGAATATTTACCTCTACAGTAATTTCTTTCTCTTTTTTAAATGGTATTCCCCAATCAAATGCTACCACATAAACATAATACTTTGATCTTAATTGTGGAAATAATGCTATCTCCGTTAACATTATTACACCACTATCATCAATAACAAATGGAATCCTGATTTCATTTGATATTACATAGCTCACCCTACCATTGTTTCCTGCATCTTTATCAGAAGCTGTAACTTTCAAGATAGAAGTAAATGCAGGAGTGTTTTCTGTAACAGATACAACATATCGATTCTCATTAAATTCAGGCTCATGATCATTTTCATCAACAACATAAATTGTAACTTGGGCTTCAAGCACGCGAATTTCGTTTTTTATAAAACCTGTAACACTAAACTTGTATAACTTGACTTTTTCATAATCTAAATATTGTGAATCTTGAATAAATAATACTCCTGTTTGGAAATCTATTTGAAATATTCCTGCAGCATCACCATCTGCAATTAAAAAATTTACATTTGGTATTTTTATATCTAAACAACCAATTATTGTTAATTTTGGTGCTAGTTCACTTATTGAAAAATTATAATCTCTTTTAATCAAATGAGAAGTATAACTATTAATCCCTAATGGTTGTATAGGTAAGACATTTTTAAATATTTTGTCAGCTGAGGGTTTCGAACCTGGCTTAACATAAATACTTATTTTGATTGAACTATATAAGTTCGAGTCTACAAAACGTGCATTAATATAAAATTCAAAATAATTTTTTAATGCTGCATTTAAGTTTTTTGTTAAAAAAATTCTCCCATCAACTGAAACTCTAAATTCATTCATTAAAGCTAAATTTTTCTCATCAACATAAAATATAACATCAGAAAATTTTTTTTTTAATTTAACTTTTCCAATGACACTGCCAAGAAATAAATCATCATATAGAGTTATAGTTTTTGAATCACTGTCAAATTCTGGAGGTAAATAATGGTCTTCTTTTACATAGACATATAAAAGTGTTTTATCAATTAAATTGCCTGTATTGCTATCAAGTGCTATGAGTTCAATAACTCTGTTATTTTCATGAACAACATCATGAACATTCACAAAAGCAAAGTAGAAATCTTCTATTTTTACAGTGGATAATGAGTAAACAGAAGTGTCATTTATAGCAAAATCTATAGAAACTTTATTTTCATTAGTTTCATGAGTATAAATACCAATCTTTAGATTTGATACCAATCTTTTGTTAATAACTGTGCAGTTATACAAACGATAAAGTCCACTAGTAAATCGCAACCGGTCTGCATAACCAAGTTCTTCTCTATAAAAACGTTCGTCACATAAAAAAACATTGATCAAAGTCAGTATGATTAAAAAAAATATTTTCATTGTTCTTCATCACAATATTACTATCTAAAAAGAAAAAAACACAAACAATATCATGCTTTATTATTAGGGAGATACTTTATACCACTACATACTATTATTATATACATATTTATATACTATTATATTATATATTTTATACTACTACCACTACTCTCTCTCTCTCTCTTTCTCTCTCTCTCTCTCTCTCTCTGTCTCTCTCTCTGTCTCTCTCTCTTTTGCTATATATATATATATATATATATATATATATATATATATATATATATATATATATATATATATATATATATATATATATATATATATATATATATATATATATATATATATATATATATATATATATATATATATATATATATATATATATATATATATATATATATATACTCTAGCATATTTATATAAGAATTTGCTCACTTTTTTTGCTTATCTTAATCCATACGGCTTTTTTAGATAAAGCAGAAAAAAATGAAGAATAATGAATGAAAAGATTGTTGCCCCATGCCAAACCCTCAGTCAATGTAGTAGCACTCCACTGAGAGTCAGGCTATTTGTCAGTCAATGTATGTACTGAAGCCCCCTGCATTAGGCTGTTTCATTATGGCATCAGGTTGCTTACCTTGGTACGCAATACTATTTAGTATATATATATATATATATATATATATATATATATATATATATATATATATATATATATATATATATATATATATATATATATATATATATATATATATATATATATATATATATATATATATATACTCTAGCGTATTTATATAAGAATTTGCTCACTTTATTTGCTTATCTTAATCCATACGGCTTTTTTAGATAAAGCAGAAAAAAATGAAGAATAATGAATGAAAAGATTGTTGCCCCATGCCAAACCCTCAGTCGATGTAGTAGCACTCCACTGAGAGTCAGGCTATTTGTCAGTCAATGTATGTACTGAAGCCCTCTGCATTAGGCTGTTTCAGTATGGCATCGGGTTGCTTACCTTGGTACGCAATACTATTTAGAATATATATATATATATATATATATATATATATATATATATATATATATATACATATATACATATATATATATATATATATATATATATATATATATATATATATATATATATATATATATATATATATATCTTCACTGTAAAGCAAAACTATCTTAGGCCCATTTTTTGGCAAAAAAAAACTTTTTTGGTTTAAAATACTCCTTAGGTGCACAAAAGTTATCTCACAAAGTATGGAACCAAAATTGATTCAACTTTTGCAACTATGAGTAAAATTCAAATATCTTATGTCCTAAATAAAAAAGAGACATTGTTGCTACAAAACAAAACTATCCTAAGTTCATTTTTTGGCAAAAAAAAACTTTTTTGGTTTAAAATACTTAATACATATAATAAATAACTGAAAACAAGTAAATTTAATTAAAAAAAATAAAAGCAGTGATTAAATTTTAAACTTTAAATGTTTTTTTCTCAGAACAGCCAAAATGGACTTACCATGGTCTTGTTTTGTAGGGAAAAATTAATTTGTAGAACTTTGTCATATTTTATATAGTTTTAAGATTATCTTAAGTCCATTTACATTGTTGCTTCTCATAATCTTAATTTTTTTAATTTTTTATTTGTTATATTATGAAAAATAAAAGTATTTTAAAAACAATTTAAAAAAAAAGTCAAGTCAGCAAAAATAAATTTAAGATATATATATATATATATATATATATATATATATATATATATATATATATATATATATATATATATATATATATATATATATATATATATATATATTAGCTTAAAGTTGCATTAAATAACGAAATATTAAATAGTATCAATTAGCTTAATAGTATTTATAATATATTTTAATATATATATATATATATATATATATATATATATATATATATATACATATACATATATTAAAATATATTATAAATACTATTAAGCTAATTGATACTATTTAATATTTCGTTATTTAATGAACTTTAAGCTAATAAAATCATTCTACAGTTAACAACAATTAATTATTATTTTTGAAATTAAATATTTATAAAAAGAACACTAAATCATATCACATCATTCTTGGTATGATAAGAAAAATATAACACGATGAAAAGGAATCCTAAATGGTATAGTATATCATGTCACAAAACACTTCTAAATAAAGACTGTTGTTCGAATCTTAGTTATATTGGACCAAATTTTAACTGATCGTATCTGTATTCTCTGATTAATTATATTATTTTAATGCTACTTTATTTAACTATCAAATAGATTTTATACGTACAACATTCCGATTCATTAATATATATTTTTTTTAATTATTAGCATGCATTTTTTCTTACACATGACATACTTTGTTTTTTTTAAATCAAATATTGCTTTTACGTATCCAATCAGATTCATATTGACAATAATTAGATTCCAGTGCTTAATACTTTTATTTATTTAACATTTAAAATTGGTTTCATTAAAAATAAATAAAAATTTCAAAGATTTTGGCGGTGAAAAAATTGTGAAATGATATACAAAGCGCCGATGATATCCATTGTTCAAAAAAATGGAACAATTGCTGCTATAAAAGTATAATCTGAATAACAAGTGGAAATAAGTTTGTATTAAATCAATAAAATTCCGAAAGAATTCCGATTTTAAATGATATTAGATTTTAGCAAAAAGATATTTTTAGTTATTTTGCGAAAGATTTTGTATAAGGCACCAAGTTAACTAAAGCACGTGGAGTCGTAACCTCGTTTTACGTAAATAATTTATGAATAACTGTTGCTTAGATACGAACAAAATACCCTACGTTCTAATATGTTCTAATAGGAATAAAATAATAACAAAAAAATTTAAATATACATAAAAAAATAAATTTAAATATATATATATATATATATATATATATATATATATATATATATATATATATATATATATATATATATATGTATATATATATATGTATATATATATATATATATATATATATATATATATATATATATATATATATATATATATATATATATATATATATATATATATATATATATATATATATATATATATATATATATATATATATATATATATATATATATATATATATATATATATATATATATATATATATATATATATATATATATATATATATATATATATATATATTAAACATCTTCACTTCCAACAAGGCTGCAAGCAACCACTATTAGAGTTCGAAGTTACTCAAAGAAAAAATATGAAGTTTATAGAGAAAGATAACGATTGACAGACGACTTAATAACCATTGAAGATTGCAAATTATATAAATTAGGAAAACAAGATAAAGGGAGCGAATTCCAAAGAACTGATGTTCGAGTTATGTTGTCATATATATATATATACATATAGTTTTCCTAATTATCAAAGACTGCAATTTCACCGGGACCATTTCATTGACGAACCTAACAGAAAAAAAAATCAATTGGAAGATTTTCAATCAGTTCTAGATTTCATCTGCGCTAAAGAACAAATCGGATTGAAAAGAATTGCCTCCGAAGTAATCCTTTTTATTAAAGTAATTCTGGTCTAGCCAGTATCAACTTGTACAGCAGAATAATTATTTAGTAGTCTCCGTAGATTAAAAACGTTTCTTTAATAGATCATGAGCCAAGAAAGGCAGTAATGAATACCTATCAAGAATTTGTAATGAATACCCATAAAGAAATTACCCGAAATCTTGAAATGGATTTTATGTTAGATATGTTTTTTTTAAAAAAACGATACGTGTTGTAGAATGTTTTATTTGGAAACCAAGTAAAAATTCGAACTAAATTTGTTTTTCTTTAATTTCTTGATGCTAGTTAACCAAAATCAAAGTTATTATTTTTTATTTCTATATCAAAAAAAAGATAAACACTGGACAGTAGGCATATATTTCTCTAAAAAATCGAACCTTTAATTTTTTGCCCTCCTTTGAAATTTGAGTACTCTACGCCCATATATATATATATATATATATATATATATATATATATATATATAAAAATCAAATGAAACTAAACAAAATAATTTTGTAGCAATGCTTGAAAACTATTTTTTCATTGCCCACATTAACGCTGAAGAAACCATATATATATATATATATATATATATATATATATATATATATATATATATATATATATATATATATATATATATATATATATATATATATATATATATATATATATATATATATATATATATATATATATATATATATATATATATATATATATATATATATATATATATATATATATATATATATACATATATATGGTTTCTTCAGCGTTAATGTGGGCAATGAAAAAATAGTTTTCAAGCATTGCTACAAAATTATTTTGTTTAGTTTTATTTGATTTTTGGCTTTTTCTTTTTTGAACGTTCCTGTATTCATCGTGCAATTTAGTTATTTTTTCTTTGATTTTATCTTTCCTTTGGGTTTCAATACCGGTCTTATGCCAGACTATTGGAACTCCTTCACATACTGCAACATACTGCATCAGCAACAATTGAATTTGATTATATTGATTTCTCAGTTTTAAATTCACAGTTCTTAAGGTGAAAAAATAGTTTCAAAATATCCCCATTAGTAGGAATAATTGTTTGGCTCAGAGCATCGATAGAATTTCCTATCAACCAAATATTTTGCGACTGTTGTCTACTTTTTCGATATTGTTGATTTAGCCATGTCTAAAGCAAGCACCAATCATATACTAACAATATAGTTAAGGTATATATATGTTTTACTCATTTATATTATAATATTTATATTATACATATAAATTGTATTCATATTAGGTAGTTGTTCAAACTATAGTTTAAACAACTAACTAAGTTTAAACAAAAATGGGTTTAATGTTGCGTTTGTTTCCTTTGGATGGGTTTAGTTTTATCTTAATATATATATTAAGATAAAACTAAACCCATCCAAAGGAAACAAACGCAACATTAAACCCATTTTTGGAATCA